GAAAGCAAAAATTTCCAAAGCCGGCGCTGTTTGTAAGACCAGGTTGGCTCAAGTCTGCTCGTTCACTTACCAACCTCAAAGTATGTATGTATGCATCTTGTTACTTACAGATCTCAAGATGATGCAGCTATGAATGGCCACCAATGAAGGCAAAGTAAGATTGTACTCTGTCCGTGATACTGAAGTCAGAGAATTGCTGAACAGCAAGGTTTCATGAGCAAGTTTTCGAGTGCATCGAAAGGTTAAGTGTACCTTGTTCATTAAGTACTAAATGAAGCTATTATGTACTGTGGATGATGGTATTTCTTGCCGTATACATATGAAGAGATGTAGATCTTATAGAAAAATATGCAGATGGCAGAGGACTGAGGCGATCTTCAAGGAAAGGAATTTACGTACAAATACATCAAGTTGGCAACCATCAACCTTGTTAACAGTGAACCAGGTAAACAAATGATGAGCTGGGTCAAACTGACTACTTATCTTTACGCTGGTGCGGTTAGGCCTCGGCAGGTTTGCTTCCGTCTCAGGTATTAGGCCTCGGGCCCTTTGCGTGCGCCTGCGGCGCACGCGACGTCTCGGTATGACCAATTTACCGTTCTTGCCCAGTTCCTGCCCAATCATTGTCCAGTTGTTGCCTTGTAGAAATATCGCTCAAAATTTTTAACTAATCACGAGCGAAAAAGATAAGCAATTTCATTATCTTTTTCGGACGAAAAAGATAACAGATTACGGGCGAAATTCTTATCGAAAAAGATAATGAATTACAATAGATTTTTCAGATGAAATTATCAAAGATTTACGAGCGAAATTCTGTTTGTTTTTCAATTTATTTTTCACACGAAAAAGAGAACCAATTTTGACCGAAATTCTTATTGAAAAAGGTAAGTAATTACAGCAATAATTTCGGAAAAAATTTCGCCCGTTATTATTTGACGCTTGCGTAGTGACTTATCCTGATTCCTTATTGCCGCAACAGAGCGTGATTTTATTGTAGTGCTTATTTGATTTGCAGTAAACAATCGGTTTCTTGGGATCAGTTTATTGACCATAATTATCTTCTAAACCGAGATGAAGTACCGAGATAAAGTGCCCGTTAGCTTTGACAAGAAAGATTGGATATAATCTGGAGCATACACAGAAGACAGGACAGGATGGACGGTAGAAAAGCCCAAAGCCACTGGGTAAACCATGAGGTCTGAGCTGACATTCCTGCCAGCCAGTTCACTCGAGGGGAAGTACCCACTGTCGCGGATGGTTGGGGTCGGCAACGTTGATGAGACTCGTAGTGTTGTGCAGGGTTGGGTCGGGCCGGAGACCCAAGGGTTGGGTCTGGGTCGGCTGGGTCATGGTCAGTCAAAATCCCGACCCCGACCCACCTAGGCGAGTTGGGTCGGGGTTGGGTTGGGTCTGGGTCGGGTTATACAATTCTTTCTGTCATATTGTCACATTATTTCATCTGAACAAGCCTCAAAATACTTACATTGAGGCATTTAGGTGACATAGACTAGCATAGACTACCTCAGTTCAATATGTTCTAGTATTTATCATGAAAGCCCAATGCAAAAAGTATTTAGCACAGCCACTCATACTCCAAGTATCAGTTGTATTGGCTCAACAATGGTGATGTAATGCATTGTATGAGTTACAATGTACATCCTGGTGCTATGGCTGTGATGGCCATCTTTCCATGACCACTAAATATGGCCATTCTGGCTCAGAGTCATGTATATCTCTGACCCAGGGTCACGACCCTGGGTCAGTGGTCACCAAATGCCCGACCCTGACTCTTGACCCAATGTGACCCACAGTTGGGTTGGGCTGGGTCGGGGTCGACCCAGGCTGGGTTGGGTTGGGTCATGGGTCAGAGACCCAACCCTGCACAACACTAGATCATGAGAGGCGTTTATAAACCATGTACAACAAGGTTTGGCCGCAGTGAAAGGTTCGCTCAGGAACACAGAGTAAGAACCGCAAGGCCGTGTTGATTTCGAATCGTCGATATATCAGTCCCGTTGAAGCCAACCAACCAGTGCCTTGTTGAAGTGTCATAATCAGGCGCTCGATACTCTGGAAAGCCGGGCCGGTTGACGGTCCAATCAAATCGCTTGTGTTGACGACGTTCTCTGTTCTCCCCGAGTTCTCCTCGACGCCATCATCTTGAGCGGGAAATACTACTTTCCTATTATTTTTGCTTTAAAATCCATCATTTAACGGTCTCTGGCGCTCTGTTGAAATGCTGAGGCTCGTGACGACTGCGTCGCGACCCAGTGCAGCGGGTTTAGTCGGAAAGGTCGGAGGTGCAAAGTCCAATGGTGAGCAAGGCATATCTTTTTCTTCGTGGTCTTTTTCAAACTTTGTATAGGCCGCCGCTCCTTTGCAACAACATCTGCTAGACAGGCCGACATTACCCTGACTGTGGATGGAAAGGAAGTAACGGTTCCCCAAGGCACGATTCTCGCCCAAATTCGCTCTCATTTTATTCTGATTCTCCGAATAAAACCTAGGCTCTGCTTTAATTCAAGCTTGTGAGGCTGCTGGCTCAACAATACCGCGGTAAGTGTAGACAAGTTTATGTTGTTTTTAGCGTCGTATTGACTTGCTATGTAGATTTTGCTACCATGACAGGTACTTGAGCTATGCTTTAGTAGAGTATTCGGTCTGATAAGTATTCCAGACTTGCGATTGCTGGAAACTGTCGAATGTGTCTGGTTGAGGTCGAGAGGTCACCAAAGCCCGTGGCGTCTTGGTGCGTTCACACACATAAATTTCGGCCGGCTTCTTACCTTGTAGTACAGCGCAATGCCTGCAATGCCCGGTTCAAAAGTGTGGACGAACACCCCACTGGTCCACGAAGCCCGCGAAGGAGTGATGGAGTTTTTGTTGTCGAATCACCCATTGGACTGCCCAATTTGCGACCAAGGAGGAGAGTGTGATTTACAAGACCAGTCTATGAGATACGGTTCTGACCGTACCCGTTTCCACGAGATCGCGGGCAAGCGGGCTGTAGAGAACAAGGACCTGGGCCCGCTCGTCAAGACATCGATGAACCGCTGCATTCAGTGTACCCGTTGTGTCCGTTTTGCCAACGAGGTTGCCGGTGTAGAGGAACTTGGTACCACCGGTCGCGGAAACGATCTCCAAATTGGAATGTATGTCGAGAAGACGATGGACTCTGAGCTATCTGGAAACGTTGTCGACTTGTGTCCTGTTGGTGCACTGACGAGCAAACCGTACGCGTTCAGCGCTCGGCCCTGGGAGCTAAAGAACACCGAGTCTGTTGATGTGCATGATGCGCTTGGGTCGAATATCCGTATCGACTCGCGCGGCGTGCAGGTGATGCGTATCCAGCCCAAAACGAACGATGATGTGAACGAGGAGTGGATTAGTGATAAGACGCGTTACTCGTACGATGGATTACGCTTCCAACGGCTTACAACACCTCTGATCAAGCAAGGGGACCGTTTCGTCGGTGCGACCTGGGAAGATGCACTTGCCGCCGTCGCCAACGGCCTCGCCGCTTCGGGTGCAAAAGATAATGAGATACAAGCTGTTGCCGGACATCTCGCCGACTCCGAATCACTCGTCGCCCTCAAAGATCTGATGAACCGACTTGGCTCTGACAACCTCACTCTTGACCAGGCGGGAGGTTCTTCTGCACCAGTGCACGGTGTCGACGTTCGCTCCAACTACCTCTTCAACTCCACCATCCCTGGTGTGGAAGAAGCTGATGCCATCCTGCTTGTTGGAACCAACCCGCGACATGAAGCTGCTGTACTCAACTCACGTATCCGAAAGTCCTGGTTGCACACTGGGCTTGAGGTTGGATTAATCGGTGAACGGGCGGATACCACTTACGGCTACGATTACCTTGGTGCCGACATCAAAGCTCTTTCGGATTTCATCTCTGGCAAGGGTGAATTCGCGAAAAAGTTCAAGGCGGCAAAGAAGCCTCTGATTATCGTCGGAAGTGCCCTCGCTGAACATGCAGATGGTGCCATAGCGTTTAACCATCTTTCCCGTTTCGTAGAGCTCAACAAGAAGACTTTGGTCACACCGGAATGGAACGGGTTCAGTGTTCTCCAACGTGTCGCTTCTCGTCCAGCAGCTTACGATGTAGGCTTCGTCCCATCCCCGGCTGCATCGAAAACCAAACCGAAATTCATATATCTCCTCAATGCGGATGAGATCGACCCGACCATCATTCCACAGGATGCGTTCGTTGTGTATCAGGGGCACCATGGAGACCTTGGGGCCCAACTGGCGGATGTTTGCTTGCCTGGTGCAGCATATACGGAAAAGAGTTCGACGTGGATCAATGCGGAAGGTAGAAGCCAGCTGGGACGTGCTGCGGTTCCACCACCAGGGGCTAGTCGAGAAGACTGGAAGGTCATCCGGTAATTTGGTATTTCCTGCATTTATGTTTGGTTTCTGATGATGTTATTCTACGACAGCGCCCTCTCTGATGTCGTTGGCTCGCCTCTCCCATACGAAGACGTACTTTCGCTTCGCGACCGAATGTGGGAAATCTCGCCTTCGCTGGTTCGGTATGACATGACTGAGCCGACATCGGTTGAGGTCGCGTTAGCTGGGCTCAAGGCTCTTGCGAAGAAGACGAGCGGGGCCAAGGGCCAGGGCGGAGTTTTCAAGAAGCCAATAACGAACTTTTACCAGACGGATGTCATTTCAAGAAAGTAAGTTTTCGTGTTGTTAGTTTCTTGGAAGCTGTCGCTCATGTTCGTTTAATAGCTCTGTAACCATGGCACAGTGCACACGAGCGTTCGTCAAAGGCGAGAACTATGGGTTTGACGAGGGCAACAAGGCAGAGGCTGCGTTTGCATAGCGTGGAATCGAACGGTCGTTGTAGAAGTACCTTGAGTAGTTGAAATAATATTTTTCTTTTACACCTTCCACCTTCCACCGAGGTTAGTATAAACTTTCGATTCATGCATGATGTGGGCAACATCTGCAGTCTAAAAAGTTCTGTACATCAAAGAGAGTGATTCGACCCGGGCTCGAACCGGGGACCTTCTGTGCCAACAAACCAAATCAATGTTAGACAGATGCGATAACCAACTACGCCATCGAACCATAGTTACGTAGTTGTTTTATGGTACAAGTAGGTATGTGTGCACGTGTCCTGTCTCTCCACCAATGACGCGGTCCGAACTCCCAAATGATTAATGACGTCGCGTCTCAAAGAGATAAATAGTGCGCAAGTCTATAACTCTGCGACCCCAAACCAACATGTCCTCTGTTCCCCATCTTCCATTAACAGATTCTGATTCTGCCAGCGTGCCAAATGCCTCACCTATGCCAATCACTCCTTCCTTCTCTGCAGCGTCAACAGTTTCGACGCCAGGTTTAGACTTTCCGGGCGCGTATCCTCGCACGCCCAAAGATTTTCCACACACCACGTCCAATGCAACCTCGAATCTGCTGAACGATAACGCGACACCCTCGCCAGATACTGAGTCTTCGGGTTTGGCAGGCAGGGGTGCCGGCGGTGGAGGTCTTGGAGAAGCTTTTTACAATGCTACAGTGACTGCATCGCACTATCTGCCTCCTAGAATCGTCGAATATTTCCGTAAGTCCTTTTTTCGTGTTCTCTTCGCTTATTGACATTGTGCACAGCTGGAGGCTCTGCGATCGTCGATGCGAACAACGCTGATGCTGATGCTGAACATAATCATAATATGCTCAGAGACGCTCGTGGTATTCCCATTCATTACGACGACTCAGCGTCCGCAACTAGACCTGACAAGTTCGAATCCGATTCCATCGCGAATGTCAGTACTGTCGCCCAGGACGGATCGGCTGGGGCTACTCCGACGAAGGAGAAGACTCTCCCGCTGACCGAAAGTGAAACTCATTTGGTTGAGAACGACGAAACAGTCCCTGTTAGTCTGCTCGCATCTCTAGTTTGCCTTTATTTATTTCGTTTTTGTTGTAGCCTACATCCTCTCCAACGCATACATCCATTGAAAATCCGGTGCCGGTTCCCATAAACCTTACTGCTCGGACCCATCCCCTCGCTGGTGATGGCACCCAATGGAAAGGTGTCCCATTGGACGAAAGTTATCAGAGCGATGTCGTCGATCATGCTTTAGAGGTGGGCTTTACTTATACACGTTACGTCTTCTACCTCACTGACTACTGATCTTGCAGGATACTACGACTTCATCTACAGCTGTCAACGCCGATATCCCAACTCCCTCTATTCCATCTCTTTCTTCTCAAAGCATTGACAAGAGTCTCCCTCGTGTCCCACAAATTCCGGCAACCACCTCCGGAATCCAATCTCAAACCGACTCGACCATGGCTAATACAGGCCATTCTACTCCCTCAGTTCCTATCAAGTCCCCCGCGGACACCAACTCGAATTTCGTCGCCTCACCGTCTTCGTTTGCCCATAAGTCGGATATAAACAATAGCTCAGTCCAGTCAAGATCTACTGAGACCACCGGGTCGAATTCATTGTCCGCCCCTCCGTCCGCATTTGTATCCACATCCCCCTCCGCATTCGACTCTCCCAGCAAGAACACTGCTAGCCAGTTCAAAACTTCGTCCTCAAATCATGAAAAGGACGCCTCGGCATCCTCCACAACTTCTTCCTCGGGCTCTGCGAATTCAGCCGGGGGTCCGATGAGACACAAGACAAAGTTACTCACGAAGCTGAGGGGCGAGGCGAAGATTTTTTCGGGCAAGTTGAGTGGGAAAGAAGAGAAGGTCGAGGAAGGTAGGAGGATTGTTAGGGGAGAGTTGTAAAGCACAGTTATCAGTGACCGTGAATAGTGGACTTGTTGTAAGGTTCGCATAAACTCGAATATGTAATTCCAACTGTAGAAACTATCTTAACTCGTATCAATCATCGTCGAATAAAAGTACTCCACTTTGATACATCCCACTTAGGTGAGGTTGTGTCCTTTATTGGATGAATGAACTTAAGCTTTTGCCAGTAAAGTTCAAGGAGAGATTGTACGGATGTTGGGGAAGCTCAATAAAACAAAGAGAGAATGCGAGCAACAAAAACAACAAGACAAACGAACAGCTGCCCCAGAGAGGCTCGAACTCTCGACCTTCCGATTGTTTTTCTATCAGAACATATATAACAGTCGGACGCTGTAACCAACTCAGCCATGGGGCAGATGTCAAGGTTGGCTATTATTGGTTGACATGACTATTAGGTCGGTGCAAGAGTGGTATCGATTTATCAGATATTCGAAGATCTATTAGCAGAGCAGCATGGCGCAGTGGTAGCGCGCGGGGCCCATATAGAACCATATCTGGTTGTCACCCCGAGGTCACTTGATCGAAACAAGTTGCTGCTATATAATAACACGTTGGAAATAGGTCTGTCTTTTTGCGCCTTCCTACCTACCTGCCCGTTCACTCGTTGATGATGGGTAGACTAGTAACACTTTCTTTTCAACGAGCTCGCAGTGATATCAGAGTGATATGGTAGCGCAGTCACTGACCAGGCTGCGCCGGGAAGCGGGGAATGAAACACGGCGGTTATGTATAGGTTCCTGAGAGTAAGTGGAATTCATGTACGTGCTGAACCACCGATCACAGTAATTCCCAAGTTCAGATCTCGTATTTTCTTTGCCTTCTCAGCGTTTCGGACCAAAACTCAGATATCGAGTGAGGAGGCATCCGGGTGCTGTAAAAAAACGCGTAAGGATCGACCCGCCTATGTACCCTGCAACTATGAAGTCAGAAATTCCATCCTTCAAGAAAGCGGGGTGCAGAACCAGTGCTAGCTCCAGTCAAGAGAATAGATGTTTTTTCAGGCATAATAAGCAGTAGTGGGAGCTGATCAAGCCCAGTGAAAATCGACATGGTTTAGATTGGTTGAGATTGAATGAAGTCGAGTGAGATTGAATAAAATTGTGTGAGATCGGATGATATTGGTTCTCTACCCGAACCAATACAAACTGTATCTGTTGGTTTCGAATCATATTGGTTGAAATGCACCTCATACTCCCAGTAAGCCTAGGTAGTAGCCTTTGACATGGGGGGGATGATGGCATAGGCTGTTGCTATGCGAATCCCTTATTGTACAGTAGCGCAATAAAAGCGCTATATTTCAAACAAACTTTGAATTCAAGGACCTCTCGGGTACGTTTCCGGCACTAGAATCAATACACCACTCACGTCATTGCGCTGCCGCCTCCCGCCTCCCGCCGCTGGGACGTCTCAGTCATTGTCATGATCGTTGAGCTGGGGCACTGTTGTGTTTATCCTAGGTATCTAGCATACAAACTATAGCTAATCCTTTCTGAGCCATTTGAGGCACTCAGAGTGCCTCCAAGGCATAAGAACATGTTGAGAAAGAGTGTCATCGAAGTACAAGGATGAGTTTGAGCTATCTGAAGAGCGCTTTGCACAAGCAAGTTACCTCAAAGTTATCAGAGTCTTAAATACCCAATGCCTTAAGGTACTGGCATGTACCTCTTACTGGAGTCTTCCTCGTTCTACTTTACCATCTCATCTTCCATGTGTAGCAATTTATAAGTCATGCATTGCTTTTAGATTGTAAGTATGTAGTATATAGCGGTCAGGGAGGGCTTCTACATAATTTATAGGGCTAGGTATTGCTTTGTGGTTGAGGAACGACAAGGAAAGGCTGAAGATTGAAGCGTGTGAACATACCGGAAACGTTTGCCGGTGCTTCCACTCGTTGTTCCAAACGGTGAACAGAGGAAGAAAATAATTTCTGATTGAGTGCGGACCTCACGGAAGCTCATGGTGAGGTGCACTCGTCCTACTTTATGACAAAACTACATTCAAATACACTGGAAGTAGCTTGATATTTTCTTCCTTGTGAAATAGATGCATTATAACTCATGCTCATTATACAAAACAGCGTACTCAAGAGGGAACGACTTCGCCTCCAGGTCTGATATACTGGTAGTGGAGTCGCACACACTATATCAGCATCATATAACAAAATCAGAATTGTTGAAAATGGTTAACAGTCTCAAGCAGGTAACAGGTCTTTAAAGATCAAGGTAAGTACAACGACTTAAACAAATGTAAGTAAAGTAGTATCCAGATCGTTAGACCACTTCAATATGGCCAGATTTATTAGGTCATAAAAAGCAACTGTATATGGTTCCGTTGCTCAAGTGTGAAGGCCCTAGTACAAGTATTTCTTCTGCGAGCTCACTGTTTTCGATAGCGAGTATGGGTTTAAATGCATCTATTTCATGAGGAAAGAGATATCAAGCTACTTCTACTATATTTGAATGTAGTTTTGTCCTAAAGTAGAACGAGTGCACCTCACCATGAGCTTCCGTGAGGTCCGCACTCAATCAGAAATTATTTTCTTCCTCTGTTCACCATTTGGAACAACGAGTGGAAGCACCGGCAAACATTTCCGGTATGTTCACACGCTTCAATCTTCAGCCTTTCCTTGTCGTTCCACAACCACAAAGCAATATCTAGCCCTCTGAATTATGTAGAAACCCTCCCTGACTGCTATATACTACATACTTACAATATACAAGCAATACATGACTTATAAACTGCTACACATGGAAGATGAGAAGGTAGGGTAGAACAAGGAAGACTCCAGTAAGAGGTACATGTCAGTACCTTAAGGCATTGGGTATTTAAGATTCTGATAACTTTATGGTAGCTTGCTTGTGCCAAAGCACTCTTCAGATACCTCAAACTTGTCCACTGCATACTTGTAGTTTGATGACACTCTTTCTCAACGTGTTCTTATGACTTGGAGGTGCCAAACAGCGTCTCAAATGGCTCAGAAAGGATTAGTTTGTGTGCTAGATACCTGGCGGCCTAGGATGTAGATAGACATAACAGTGCCCCAGCTCAACAATTACGACAATGACCGAGATGTCCCAGTGGCGGGAGGCGGGAGGCGACAGCGCAATGACGTGTGGTAGTGCCAGGAACCGTACCCGAGAGGTCCTTGAATTCAAAGTTTGTTCAAAATATAGCGCTTTTATTGCGCTACTGTACAATAAGGGATCCGCATAGCAACAGCCTATGCCATCATCCCCCCCATGTCAAAGGCTACTACCTAGGTTTACTGGGCGTATGAGGTGTTGAAATGTTGAAGTTCTGCAGATTCTGCATGGTTTTGAAATGGCAAAGTTTTTACTCTGCAGATTTGCACAAATGTCAAGAGAACGCCGTGCCCACGCGCCCATAAATATATTTCATGCAAGTCAAAACACTTAAGGTATTTATTTTATGTACCTCCACCACTATCACTCTGTCCACCGCTCTTGCCTCTATGCTAAAGGCCTTGAAGGTTATGGTGAACTGAAGCTATGATTCAAGTGCATCTGCTTTTCCTTTTTCTTGCCCAGCTATCCTAACATGCTTCATAGGTATGCTCATGAACGTATGACCTGTCACCCGAACTCTGACTATTCTATGTAGCAGTGTAGTACTGTACTACTACAAGGTATGTTTTACCTTGCTCACATGCCTACAATTGCTCTAACTTTAAAATCCAGGCCTTAAGAACACCATTAGCAATCTCTATATCTACTTCAAGGAGCCGTCGCCGCGTCAACTTGCCTCGGACACTATAGGTATGACTTCCACTTTCTCTAATTTTTCCGGGCTTTTGTTCACGCGTTGCATGTGTACTTTGTTCGCCTCCGAAATATCGGCGGTATTTTGAGCTGTTCAATCATGCTGTGTCGTGTTGGTTTGGTGGGCCAGGCCGGCCAGGGATAGTAGTATTTTTGTAGTACTGACTCGGACACTATCACGTATTAGTATATATAGTAGGTACCTAGTAAACCAGTTTCATTCATTCTTAACAAATATGAACCAAAATGGTACCAGAGAAATAGCACAGCAATAACGAGGTAAACAGATGCTTAAATGACAAGAACCAATTCTGCTCAACTTCAACCGAAAAAAATCGGTTAAAGTCTCACTTTTCGAAGCAGATTGGTTCTAGTTGATTACAACTCAATATACCTGTCATTGACTGACAGTTCTCAATCTAAACCAATATCATTCAATTTCAACCAATCTTGCTCAATTTAAACCATTCTCAATCATGTCGATTTTCACTGGGGATCAAGGCTTATGAATCGGGAATTTGCTCACAAGTGTCCAGATCATATACGGTCCTACAACATGCGTGCCGCATTACAACGCAAGCATGCAGCCGAGGTACCTACTGACTTATACCTTTGGCGACGTAGTCGCTTGTAGTCGGTGGTGATTCTTTTTGAATGGACTTCTTTGAGATGCTGAATAAGTCTTCAAAAAATTCAATGTATTATATATGTATCATCCTTTGGGTAATACCGGTTTTAGAAGAGGATGAACGCAAATTTGAATATCATGGTTCTGCGTATGAGCTGCTTGGGCTTTAGAGCAGTTGGTCCATGAACGGGCCATTGCTCTCGGCTCTGCTATCGTCAGTGAGGCTGGCTCTTGAGGCTATGCCATAGCTGTCGCCAAGATTAATTCCCTCGCTTGCAAGTCACAAGGTGTAATGGAAGATTGGTATGGCTTGGGGTGACTTTTTATAGATCAAAGGAATATTTTGTGTCAGACCAACAAAAGCAGAGTCTCAACAACACACATACCGGAGAAAGTGCTTTGTATATTCCCCAGGGATATTAACTTCATTACCTTCGCCGTCCTTGGCCTTGTGCAGATTCAGTGTAGCCAGAACAGAGGCAATAGCAAGCCACACAGTGTTATCAGCCATGTAGCGGCCAGCGCAGATTCTAAAAGGTAAAAAACAGCTATAGTAAAATTGCTGGACAAAAAATGCACAAACCTTCGCCCAAATCCATATGCATAAATGTCATTGATTTTTTTGAATGGTCCAGTCGGAGAGTCAAGAAAACATTCAGGCATAAATTTATCAGGTTCTGAGTACACATCAGGGTCTCGATTTATAGCCCTAAGAGAATGTCCTTCAGCTCGCGAGCTTCCTGGAAAGAAGGAAAATCTCACCAAATATTGAGAACAACTGCACATCCTTGATTAAAAGCATATTAAAGGCCGACGCCAAGCAGAGGGCAAGGATGTTTAATATACCTTTCGGAATATGGTAACCTCTGTAAAAGTCATCTTCAATTGAAATGTGGAAAACCGCTACAAAGTTTTCAGAAATATCAGATCTCTCGAAATGGGGATCTTGTACAAAGGGGAAGAGGCGGGTGCATTCGCATTATTTTGCAATAGATAGATTCAACATAAGGAAGAGACTGTTGGTCCTCAAAAGTAGGTAGTCGATCTCTCCCAATAACACGGGCAATTTCAGCTTGCGCTTTGGACTGAATGTCGGGATGTTGGGTCATGGTGAGGAGAAAGGAGCTGATGG